CCCTATTTGGAGCCAAGACTTGAAACTTCACCAGTCTCGGATCCATTTCTCGCATTCATCGAGGAACTCTTTTAGTTCTTCTTCGTTTCTGTACAGCTGGTCCTCTGGCGGATGTGGCAAAGGCTCCTGTGCTGCCTCGGTGGGGGTGCTTGGGGCGCTTGTGCCTTGCTGGTTTGGCTGCCCTGGCTCGGGAGGGGTGCTTGGTGGGCTTGCCGGCGCGGCGCCTTCTGCTTGTTCATCAGCGGCTGTTCCTGACAGGGTTGTGAGCACTTCACCACATTGTGTGCAAAACCTTCAACTAGATCAGACATGCAGCGTGCCGTCAGGCCCTTCCCACACCAACCTTAGGTGCGCCCCCCACAAGAAGAACAGCCAACACAAACCACTCACCCCCTGGCGACGAGCCTGCGGATGCCGCCGCTTCACGGCCTGCGGAAGCCTCCGCTTCTTCGCGGTCCCTTTGGGCCTGTTCCGTGCGTGCCTCTTCCGCCCAATGCTCCAAGACTTCCTTGAGCTCATGGCGTCGTCTGCGGGTCATCATGTCGAAATCCAGAGTGAACTCGTTGTCATGGACATCGACATCTTGCACCTCAAGAGACAGTGCACAGCTGGGCGGTGGTGAAGAAAGGAGGGGATTGGAGATGCTCCAGTTATGCCTCTTGTGGCTGGTACCACTGAGGACGAGGTTGAGCGGAACGGTTTCGGACATCGTAGCATGGCACAGGTCTTGTTTGAAGAAAAAGAGCAGCATATATGCTTAGCTAGGCACTCAGTGTTGATGAGACCTGCAATGCAAGACAAGCCCGGCTTCGTTTGGATCTCCCCAAAGCACGGTCTGAGAAGAGCAGGAATTCCCTCCACCCACCGTTCAAGCTACCTCCATGATTGGCCTGCGGAACGAGTCCAACCCAAAACCGCGGCTCATTCCTCCAACAATCACATCATCTCAAATCTCTATGCCCCAGCGAGAGTCGACTGCGCGGATGGCCCCTGGGACAGCCCCCAGTTCTCCTGAAGGTTCTCTTCGATTGTGTGGAACTTGTGATGGGAAATGGCCACCTACAATCCCATACACTCCATGCCATAGGACTGCCGCCCCATTCACCACCATTCCACCACCTCTGGCTGTTTCTCGGCAGTCCGGCAGTCCCACACAGAGTCGTGTCTGGGAATGGAACCTGCTTGCAAACCTTCTGCTTGCCCCGTGACCCTTCCGACCAAGCTGCAATCTCCCGGAAAAACGCAAGCACTCGTCTCTTCTGAGCGGCCCGCCACGAGCGAGTGGCTCGACGTCACCAATCGAGTCGAGGTGAGCACCCATCGGGTTGACACCCGTCTCACACTTCTGAACCGTTTCGTAAGCAGAACCACATCCAAAAGCGAGTTCATCCAAAGACTTAGAGGCCAACTTCCCATCAATTTGGCTGTGTGTCACACCCAGACAGCCCTAGTTGATAGACAGCCCTCATTAATGAGAATCCTCTTGGTCATTGTTGTAAACCTATCCATCGGTGACATGGAGGGGAAAGCGGTTTTGACGTTTTGACCCACAGGGAAATTGTTGGTCACTATTTAGTTACTACGTAGTTACAAACCTTCAAATCCACGGTCAAGGATCCCCCAGAAGACCCACCGAAGCTGGTGCAGCCTTTGCCTTCACAAAGAGTGTTTAAAGGTCAATCCGGTGATCAATAGCTCGGCGAAAGGAGTCAAGTCTCATAGGTCTCCGTTCTTCCTACAACTGGCAAGGTGTAGTCTGCTCCCTGAACTTTGGAGCTGGGAAAGACAAGACGGCCACAAACAGAACGCACGAATGACGGCGAATCGGCGATCCAGAAAAACTTCAAACGTCACAGGCACCCGCCAAACAGATCTTGCTGGGATGGTCTTCGGTCTTCGAACATGCCGCCATGCCCCCAAAATAGGCCTAGCAAATCGAACCAAGACGACCTCCTGCGCGGGAGGTGTTGTGCACCCTCTGAGGGGCCCCACATTGTCGTCGGAGATTTGTACCATCAAGCTCAGCAGGTACTCGCGCTCCTGTTGGTCGGCGCATCGTTCCAAAGGCGAGGCCATCTCCTGGCGCGCCATCGGAACATCGAAGAAATCCGAACCAAAATGAATCTCGACCTGGGGTTTCCTTCTCGACATGGACATCGACAGGTGTGTGACGCGAGCTTCCCAATTCGATCAAATTTGCCGGAGAACTTGGTTGTTTCAGCAATTCAAAAAAGGTATACCAGTCTAATATGGACTATTTAGGCTGGCCACGTGACCCCCTCCCCGCCGGTCTCCTCAATGCGCTCAATGTCTGATTCCTGGTCGTCCACCTCAATCGCCTGAGGTTGTGGTTGTGGAGCTGGCGGCATTTCCTGAGGCTGCTGGGGTCTGTTGCCCCTAGCGGTCGATTTGGGCCACGCTTTTGGCTTTGCCTTCGGCTTGGCCTTCGCGGCCGGGCGGCTCTTGGGAGCCGCCTTCGGCTTTGCAGAGGCTTTCGCTGCTGCCTCCTTTGCAGTCCTTTCTGCCGCTTTTGCCAGTCTCGTTGCTTGTGCCTTGGCCAACTTGGCCTCCTGTGCTTCCTTCTTTGCCGCTTTTGCGGCTTCTTTAGCGGCGTTCTTCTCCGTCATCTTCTTGTTCTCTGTCGCTTTTGCCTTGGCGGTTCGGTTGTTGGGAGCCGCCTTCGGCGTCTTGCCCTTGGCTGCTGCAGCCTTCTCGGGCGCTTTTGTGGCTTCTCGTGCCTGTGTCTCCTTCGTGTCGCATTGCCTCTTTTTGCTCCCGCATCTTTGTGTATCTGTTGCCTCTTCTAAAACCCACGCCCACCCAGAAATCCGCGAACGCTTCATCTGGTCCATCTTCTCCCTGATCATGTTCACCTCATCCGCGGTGAGATAGAACAGTCCAATCCCGCATGGATCTGCGTCCAGGGACGGACAAGCCTTTCTCTTCGGCATAGCTCTGTCGGGATGTCCGCCCCAGCACTGCTCTGTTGACACACAAACTGACACACAAACCTGCTTTCCAGTACCTATCTAAAAATGTCTTCTATCTATTTCTGCCTCACTCCCTGCAAGGAGGTTTGCCCTGAGCAGAAATTGCAGCCGAAGCAGGCAAGAGACTGAGCTGGATTGAGCTGGACGAAGCTTACAGTAAACCGAAACGTCCCTGCTCTAGAGGGTTTGAGGCTTGCGTTTTCGCAGGTGCTGTGTTCTTGCAGCGCCTCCGAAAAGGCAGGTCATTGAAAGGATCCTCGGCTCATGATGAACCAACGAACACCGGGTGAAACTGTTGCTTCGAAGGGTGCCGAGCCGGTTTCACCATGCGGAGCCTTCGGGTGTCACACTCCGCACACCAAACAAATGGGACGACCGAAAAGGGACGCCAACATGGCTGGGTCATGAGGTACCATGTATGCAACTATTACATGGATGGTCCGGGTACCAGAAAGAACAGTAACTCCAATTCCTGCCACCTTAGACCTGTAGTGGAACCTCAAACATTTCATGCTTCTCCTGTAGGTTTTGTCACTGGATGTCGGAGGCCTCCGGACACCGCCGCGCCCGCGTTTCTTACGCCCGGAGCTCGCCTGTGTGAAGCAGCCAGGTCTGGCGGAGGTGAGGAGTGTGGGAGGACGTCCGGTGATGGTTGGGTTGATGGGTGGATGAATCAACCACCGCACCGTCTTGGAAGGCATGAGCTTCTTTGCCAAAGCTGAAGGGACAGAACAAGTGATGCTGGAGAGACGAGATCAAGTGATTCAGAGAGACGGGATCAGAAATCACATGAATAACCCAAACACGACCTGCTCTGGGACCAAAAGCAGGACATGTTCGGGATCGGATCCTCATGGATCAGGTGCAAAAGGGTATCTTTCCAGTGAAAGAAGAACATCAACAACCACCCCCCCTAGCATCCATGAGACTGGACTAGTTACCTATATGGACGGGTCATGTTCATGGGGTAAATTTGTGTGTTTTCCTATAGTGGCGTGTAACTGGAAAGATGTGGGGCAAGTAACTGGAAGCGTCGGGTCACTTCAGATGAAGGGGTGTCACCACTTGAAGGTCTCACCACGACGTACTTCTTCACGTCAAGTGACTGGAATCATCCCATCCCAGGGATTGAAGCAACTCGAATGTATTGAATTCGTCGGATTTCCAAAAAAAGCCGTCAAGCAGTATACCTGGATTCTTTGGGAGGATGTTCTGTCTTACTCGCTGAAACACCCCTGGAATCCATGGGGATCAACGACCGAACAACTGGCTCCACTGCGGCATCTGAACTCTTACTCCCACAGTGAGTGAGCATGGTGAGCATCTCCTCCACCGGCAGCCATTTTTTCCCATGGAGGAGCACTTTGGAGCAATATGTGTTGAGTATATCCCATTACCACTAACAGTGGATGATGACGGTTAGTAAAGGCCTTCTCTAAAATAGTGATACTTGCTTCTCGACGGCTCTACAGGTAAGGGACCAACGATCCAGGTCTTCCTGCGCCGAGTTCTTCAAACAAAAGCGTCGCTGGACGCCACGCGGCCCCGTGCCCAGCGCGGCCCGTGGTGGGCCATCTCCAAATCCCCAAAACACGAGAAATGGAACTGGATGCCATGCCGCAATATGCCCGGGTCTACCACCCGAAATGTAGGGAAAAAAACATGAAAAACCCTGCCAGCTCTCAAACGGTCTACCACCCAAATGTAGAGTAATATAGTTCGAACCCTGCCAGTTCTCAAACAGCGAAAGTGTCTTGGAATCCGATTTGACCGGGTCGAACTGCCGGGTCTTCTGCACAGCTGGGGAAGGGGGCGGACGTGCGACCGGCGGAGAAGACCGGCGGAGGGAGGCTCCTGGAGCTCGGAGCATCGTGTGTTCGTCGTGGTTTTTGTTTGACCAACTTCAGTAAAATGAGGTCATAGACTTGTAGGGATAGGACTGGAAGAGATACACCAGAAGAAAACATCGGAAGTGGATGGACAGAGGCCCTGTGAAGACCATGTTCCAAAACACAAACTGGTGGTGAACTCCAATTCCATGTTAGCGAGTTGGAGTGTTGACCTGTCCAGTCCTCTGGTTTCTTCGCACCAGCCCAAGACCCTTCGGTGCTCGGCCTGAAGCCGGCCGCGAAGCCGCCCGTCGCGGACACCGCGAGCGCCAGGCGCCAAGGGCGGAAAGCGCGGTGTCCACCGCGGGGTGGGCCTGGACGACAGGTGTCGTCGTTGTTGTTGTTGTTGTTGTTGTTGTATATATGGGGGGTGAAACGGATTCCAACATGAGCTGTCTGGGGCTGGCATCTGGACCGATTTGGAGTGGTTGTTGTTAGGGCTGTGGTCGTGGAGTTGTTGTTGAGGCAGCCATAGATTCCAATCCCAAACAGGTCGTGTCTGGATCTGCTGTCGCGTCTTTTTTGGTGTCACCTCAATGAGGAAGGGCGTCGCACTGTAAACTGCGACAGGACCATCGGGCTCTGCACTGCAATGATCACACCAAACAGGAATTTCCACAACTATTTTCCACCCAAACAGACTGAACAACAAACAAACCATAAGAAACCTTATCAGCCATGGCAATGGCAGCACAACTAAGCAAGTTTCAGGTGCTGAATGATTGCTAATCAGCTCAAGCAAGGTGACGGGCTGCATGCCATTGGCATAAACGAGTCAACCCCCATGACTAAGACAGGACGGAGACGGGTCCTGTCTGGAAATCATGGTCATAGTACAAGTCATGCAAAATTTTGGCACAACTCCAGCAAATCTTGTCCAACACCTGTACTCAAGGTTGAAAAGAAGGAAGGACACCGTCAACAAGCATCCCAGAATATCTCAGAGATCCAGTGGTGCAAGAAACAGTTGCCTGAAAGGCAGCTGGTGTCTCTACAACTGTTACTGGGATTTCGGTTCAGCCTCCGTCGAAACCGACAATAACCACCTGTTCACTGCGTCCGCGATCGATTTCGGCCAACGCTTCAGCCTTCCCGGGCACGCCAAGGCATCTGCCTGCGAGTCTCTGTCCAGTCGAAAAGGCCGTATCCAAGCGATGGACAAGCCGTCCCATGTCGTGTTCATTTCTCCCAAAACTTGGCAGTAGAAAGAACAAATGAAAACGGACCTCTGGAAATCATCACTAGACCTGGACCCCTGGACATCCCTGGACCCTTCCTTTCAGGGCTTCCGGTGACACTGGTGATTCCGAGTGTAGGGGTCGGTGCTGGTCTGAGGGCACGATCTCCCTGATTCGGTCCGCACGGGTCGGAACCCGACACTTTCGGCTTCCAAAACCCTCCAACTCTCCCTAAGAACCATGGGAGATCTGAGTTGGTCTTCGATGGGATCTCCCATTCACCTGCACTGCTCCCGCGCCCAGCCCCCCAAACTGCCCCCAACCGGCACCTTGCCAGCGGCGGCGCCTTGCACAGACTTCCGCCCCGCGCGCCCGCCAACGCGCGCCGTGCGCGTTTTCGCGCCGTTTTGGAGGTCAGAACGGCTGCGGTGGAGATGTGCTGGAAGTCCGCAATGCTAAAGATATATATATATATATTGGTTTGAGAGTGGATGGCACAATCCCCAAGTTGGGTGGTTTATATGGCTCAAAGACATGTTGGGGTGTCAATGTCATCTACTCTCATCAGGGCCTAGGGATACCCTCTGAGGATGACTGGAGGGTCAATCCCTCCACATTGAGATCCCCCGATCATTGGATGCTTCACCAATTCATTTGCTTGGACTCCGTGCGAGTGGCTCTCACAAGGTAGGCGAGTCCCGCGTTCGCCCCGTCTCTCGTTGGTTTCGTTTCTCTCATTGGAGATCTCCAACTCGACTGCTCTGAATTTTCGTCAGTCTGTGGTTTCAGAGGTTCCATGGCACAAACAACAAAATTGGTTGGTTTTTCAGAGCAACTACGGTTTTCAGAGTCCCTGGGGGTCCTTTAGATGGGCTGTACCTACGTGCACGTTGCAGTCGTTTCTCGTTGTCCCGCAACGTGGTCGACCAGAGTTAGCGGCATTCGGTACCGAAGCCAACCACCATGGGACCAGAGTTTTTACACCAGCCATGGACGTGTGGGACCTGGCATGGGCAATGGAAACGACTGGGTTTGGCTTGTTTCGGAACCTGGACAACGTTAAAGACCTCCACTCACTGGATGGGACCAAACACCACCCCGACATGTGACTGCTGGGATATTCCCTAGGTTAGGGGATTTAACCAGTTCGTAGAAAATACATCACCTGATCCGCCAAAATCCCATGGATCTGGGATGAGTCAACACAACCGACAAGTCTGTCTTCCCCGAGACTGGCAGCCAGGTAGGGAACCTGGCACAAACAAGCGGCGCTTAGCACGGCGCTGGTTGGCAATTTTTGAATGTGCCCAGGCTTGGCCCCAATTCTGTGAATGAGAACTTGGCAAAACATCACTTATGCTGAAGCATGTTTGCGGGGATTGAGCCTGATTTTCTTTGCAAGACAGCCTTTCTGCATCATGTGCACACACACACATGACAGCACACCTGCTGTATACAAATCTGCTCAAAAGGGACAGTCTTTTGCACACCCAATGCGCATCAATTGATCGCTTCCTGAATCTATCACCCTCCCCTCAAACCAAACAAAACAAGTCCACCACTGCTCCTTCACAGCACTGCTCCTCTCCGCTAGGTCAGTGACTCTCCGACTTGGGCGGTTGTAGAGGAATGTGTTGGTTCATCTTTGCGCACAAACAGAGCATGGTCAGAGCCACGTTCTCCGCTGTCACTGCTGCTGACTTTCAACAGCAACCGATGATGATCACAGCAGTTGCACAGCGAAGCTGCGTCCCAGCTTTCTGGCTACTACAACCTCCAAATTGCAAAACCAGCTCATGGTTCAAACGAGTAACATGTGAAGCTGTACACTCTGTGGCCATTGAAACAGGGGGCAAGTTGAAATTGTAGAAGCATGGATGACCTAACGTTAATCTGGATCGTAGGAGTGTCTGGGATGAGGCCAGAATATACCAGCAGCATACTGCAAACATGAATATATTATTGTTTGCAGTGTATTGCTGGCACTCCTGCATGGTTCCGCCTCTCCAAATGAGATATTGCACACCACATCCATCAATCTGGCTGCACTCTCAAGTTGGGCATATGGTCTCCAATAGTTTCAACAAGGGTGCTTCTCACCAAAACTACTGACCACATTGCAGTTGATGACACCAAGCCCCACATATGCTTTGCATGGCATCAAATAGCCTCACTGCTTGCTGTAATTGACCACCCTTCTGACATGCGCTGATGGCTGCATTGTAGCTGATGACGTCTGGCTGCACTTTGGCGTTGAGCATGTCCTCAAAAAGTTTCCAGGCTTGCTGCCATTGACTGCCCTTCTCACAGGCACTAGTTGACGCGCTGTAGCCAACGACATCTGGCTGCAATTCTGCCGTGGGCATCGCCTCAAACAAAGTCAATGTTGCCTGCCATGGACCGCCCTTCTCGCAGGCACTGATCGCTGCATTGTAGCTAATTGCAGTCGGTCGCACTTTTGCCTCTAACATGGCCTCAAACAACTTCAATGCCTGCTGCCATTGCCCGCCCTTCTCACAGGCACTGATGGCAGCATTATAGCTGACGACGGTCAACTCAACCCTCCCCCTGCGCATTGCATCAAATAGCTTCAATGCTGCCTGCCATTGCCCGACCTTCTCACAGGCACTGATAGCCGCATTGTAGCTAATGACAGTCCGCTCCACTTTTGACTTTGGCATTGCCTCAAATAGCTTCAGGGCTTGCTGCCATTGACCACCCTTCTCACAGGCACTAATGGCAGCACTGTAGCTGACGACAGTGGCCTGTATTTTCGTCTGTGGCATGGCCTCAAGCAACTTTAAGGCTTGGTGCCATTGGCCGGCCTTCTCACACGCACTAATGGCAGCACTGTAGCTGACAACAGTCGCCTGTAGTTTTGCCCGCTGCATGGCCTCAAGCAACATTAAGGCTTGCTGCCAATGGCCGGCCTTCTCACAGGCACTGATGGCCGCGTTGTAGCTGATGACAGTCGGCTGCACTTTTGCCTCGGGTATGGCTTTGAACAGCTTCAAGGCTTTATGCCATTGACTGCCTGTCTCACAGGCACTGATCCCTGTACTGTAACTGATGACATCTGGCTGCATGTTTGCCTTGGGCAAGGCCTCAAACAACTTCAATGCTTGCTGCCATTGCCCGCCCTTCTCACAGGCACTGATGACTGCATTATAGCTGATGACATCTGGCTGCAGTTCTGCCCTGGGCATCGCTTCCAACAACTTCAATGCCTCCTGCCACTGATTGCCCCTTCCGCAGGCACTGATCGCCGCATTGTAGCTGATCACCGTCGGGCGCACTTTTGCCTTGGGCATGTCCTCGAAAAGCTTCACAGCCTGCTGCCAGGATTTGACGCTCGCAGCAGTTGAAATCCCCACAGTGAAAATGGACGCATTCAGCTGGAGGCATCGTCCTTCGATGCCCTGTAAGATTTGATAGACCAGGTTCCCTTTCTTTTGCTCCCGCAGGATCCACAAGACTTCTTGAAGGATCTCCATGGAATACACTTCCGGCAGCAGAACGGTGCACAGATTTCCTTAGACTTGCTGTGTTTGCATCTTCCCATGCTAACAAACATGGACCAAAGACTTACTGTATATATCTTCCTCTACGACTGCAGGTCTTCAGGGTCCATGTTGGAGGGCACACACAAAAAGCCAGGAGGGTTCGACAACGGTGTTTTCCTCACGCAGCAACTGTTGGAGAGACCCTTGTTTTCCTCGTGTCTTGTTTGGCCCTGGTACTTTCAAGTTTCAAAAAACCCGACACCCTTCAAAAGCATGTCGCAGATGTCGTACTCGCGCCGAGTCCAGGTTTCGTGTGCGAGGTTTTTTGGTACTCGATTCGTCGCTTGATTCGGGACAAGGGAGTGGGATGTGAATCGCATCTTACTCCAGAAACTCCAATGATTCAATGTTATGTTCACCACTTAGCATAACATAACATAACATAACAATAGCATGATTCGCCACTTAGCATATCTCTGATGGTTTTGCAACATGATTTTCAAGATTCTCAGAGAAACCCCCTGGGTCCGGCGAACACCACGATGGCATGTTTTCCATGGGAAATCCGGACGAGCAAAAAGGTTCACCATTTGTCCACCGGTGGATTTTTTTGGGGGGACACCCATCTCCCTAAGAAGTTCGGCGTACACAGGTTTTCACCCTCCTGTCCGCCAGTTAGACCGCTCCAGGTTTCTTTCACTCACCACTTGGCACAGCTTCGTCAGCCATTCATCTCTCACTCTGAACCCAGCTTTCGATGCGGCAAGACCGCTCGACGACTGCGGTGACTCTTCGCCCGCTGCGTCGAGGGAGAGACCTCGAGTTCCTGGGAGCAGCGGAGCTTCGGAACCTGAAGCCCCAAAGAACACGAGTCTCCAGGCCCAGGTTTTTGAGGGGTTTTCCACGTGAATTTCTGGGAACATCGGGGAACATCACCATCACCCGGAGCGGCAGCCGCAGTGTTCCTCCAGGGTTCCTCCAGCTACCGCGACCTGACACGCAGCCGTGTGGACATGTGTGGACGTCGGCCGCAGCCCAGGACCCCATGATGGTAGTCACAGTGGTGGCCACTGGCTATACTCTGTCTGACCCTTCTTCCGGAAAGGACGTGATTTCTTGGGGCTTGGTAATAATTAGATGCTTGGGGGGGGATTCAAAAAGATCCAAGGCGACCACATAGTGAAGAGTGTCTTAGACAGGGTGGATCACTCAATCACCCCATGACTCCTGGTTCCTCTGACGGTTCCCGCCACGTGGCGGAGCCCTCGTTCCCCCTCGTTAAAGCCAACCGCGTCCTGGAGCTTGAGCCCACCCTTGAAGAGGCGCCCCGTCACGAGCCGCGGCTCGGGCAAGGCGAGGTCAGCAGCTTGGGCTGCGCACATGCCACGAGCGCTGAAAGGCATCTTCCATGAACGCTGAAAGGACCGCGAAGGTTCAGCGATTCCGCGGAATGGCCACCAATGAGGGTGGAATCCTTCCGCCAAAATGGCCCGCGGAGTGCGGAGGTTTTGGACGGAGTTGGTGGAGGGAGAAGAACAGCGACCGGCCGAGAAGTCTTTTGGGGCGTTGACCGTAGTTCTTTTCAAGCAGCGATTCTGGTGGTAAGCTTCCTCAAAACCCCCCAGTATCGTCGCAGCTTGGCACGTGGGCGACCTTCCTTCTCTCTCTCTGTCTCTCTCTTTTCAAGTGGGGACAGGTCGTCGAAACAGAGTTTCAAGGGCAACACCTGCCCCAAACATGGTTAGTTGGGGTGGTTGACCTGGAGGCTTTCTGGGTGGGGCGGCATAGATTCCAGTCCCAGATAGGTCTTGCCGCTTCCAACCTGGGTGCCTACCGGGCACCGAAACCGATCCCAACACCACGCAGTCGCAACGCAGAATGCCATGGGAAAGACCCCCCCGCCAAGTGACCGATGGTCGATGAAGGATTGTGTTCCACCAAAAATGCTGATTTTTGATATTATTGTACCTTTGCCACGCATGGAATAACATCTCTGCATGCAGCATCATGCAGCCTTGAAACCATCCTAATGTAGGGGTATCTACGGTATCTTCACTGTACATTCCAGGGACAAACCATTTTTTGCTATGTTTTCAGGCCTTCATTGACCCGTGGGGCCGGTTGTCATCGAGTCCTTCGGGTCACCTCAACCCCCCAAACCCGCCGATTCCGCCCAACGATGCGCGGTCGTTCCGACGACGAGCGCGCATGCGCCACTGTTTTGGGGCCAAGCGGACAACGGGTGAGTCCAACCACAGCGGGGGTCGCTGTCCGCCGCCCATCGCTGCGTGATGCCATCTCGGGAAGCTTTCCTCAAACTCACCGTTTTCCAAAGCGAATCCCACCAAAAATGAGGTGGCGGGGATGTACTTAGAGGATGTACTTGAGAAATACTTAGAGGGTGCCATCGCTAGCAGGTTGGAGGCCATCGCTAGGCGCAAAGACACGTCGACAGGTTTCCGTTCGTTTTCTCACCCTTTTCGTTTCTGCGAAGAAAACGACGGCGTCACTGGCCTCTTCGTCCGGCCTCTTCGTTTGGCACTCCGGCGGCCAAGGGGTTTAGCATTGAAAGGGATTAGCAGAAGCAAAGTGCCTTAGGAACCCGGCCAAACAAATGCATAGAATCCCTACACGTTTCCCATGTTGCAAAGCCCAAACCATCGTTGGAATTTGTGGATTACTATCGGTAAGGTCTGGGCGGGGAAATCACCATCGGTGAAGTTGATGGAACAACTCTTCTGCCTTAGTTTTCTCAGTCGCCATGATGAGAATTTAGGAAGAATACTTGCAAGACTTGACCGCTGATTTGATAGGAAAGGCCCAATTTTGAGTGGTTGCTACATTTCTTCTGAGGCATTCCTCAAATTCTGGGTAGCTGACATGTTAGTTTCCTTCCCCAAACCATGTATGGAATAGTTACATACATGGCCGGGTCATAAATGGGGTAAACGTCTGCATACTATTCCATATAGTTACATGGCTGGTTTGTGTTCTGACGTTTGGATGGCGATGCTATGCGATGCTTGTTCGAGCCTGTGAATGCCCAGCTTGAGCTTCTCCGTATCCGGCAATTTATCCAACTTGGATTTGGTGTCCAGGAACCTGGAAACATGAAACATATTTCCCAGAAGATTGACCCATAGGAAAAACATCAGCTTAAGCAAAAACCAGGTCAATCTATCACTTGCTCCTTTCATTGTTTCGGATGGTTTCGGATGGTTTCGGTGATATCCTGCACTAGGCACGAACGCTCAGTCGAGGTGTGTCGTCTCTGTCAAACGACCTCGCCACCAACTCATGGTGCTTTCTCATTTGAGAGTATTTTGGAGGAGATGTTTGTTCAAATCCTCCCAAAGCCCAAAGCCGCTGTGGTTGTGTGGCTTCACGAAGGCCCGGTGTTGTCACCACACGGATCGCCGGAGTGCCCCCTACGCGGAGTGCCCCGTTGGACGCCTGCGGACGCCACGGGCGCACTCGTTTCGAGCGCCACCGGGCCCGCCGTCCACGGAAAGAGCGCCGGTTCGGAGCGCCGCGAAAAACTGGGCGGTCACTGATGGACCACCTGCAGGTGCGGTGGCTGTCCGGTCTGACAAGAACACGCATAAAACACATGAAGAGTTGTATACTTAGTGTATACTACTTAGTGTAATTGGTGGGGTATAATATGTAACCAGAAACTCCAGTCCCATGGTTTTGGAAGTGAGTTTATCATGGATTCTGCGAATCGTTGGTTTGAGAAACATCGACTCTTTTGATGTTCTGAGGGAGACTCGCATGTTCAAAAGAAAAAGACCAGGATGTCAACAAAAAGAACGTCCCAACGTGTGGGCCCAACGAGTGTGAGGGAGTTTCTTTGCCATCGCATGCCACCGCCCTTTGGGATAAAACAGCATTAGAGCGGAAACATAAAGAATCAGAAGCGACATCCCCCACTGTGAAATCTGCACATCGAAGTAAAGCGGCTCCGAAATAGCAGCGAACTTGCCGGTTCGCAGGATGTGAGCACCTTGAACCTGGCCA